CACACACACATACACACACACACACACACACACACACACATACACACACACACACACTCATGCGCGCGCGCGTGAGCATACAAATAAAATTATATATTCGAAAAATATACGTGTACAATCTACTCCACTTGTGTTGAACTCGCTTCAGTTTGTTTTCGGTTAAGTTGATCTTTTTCTCGGGTCCCAGCACCTGTTTTTCTTTACATTTGTTAAATTCAAACGTTGAGTTCAAATCTAACGTAAATACGCTTAAGTTGAAGAGCTTTTTTTTTACCCCCTGCGGCAAGTATGCAACAGACTAATTGTTTTTTTTATGCGTGTGTACGACAGTCCGACTTTTCGTTTCGCAGCAGTATTTACACGAGTGATACGTAACGCAAAAATACAAGCATGTAGAGCTGACCAACGCACTATAGGCCCATAATACTTAGTAGTACGTCATATTCCTTTAAAAAGTAGTCAAATTAAGTAATACTGAATTATAATATTATTATACTCAATGCTTATATCTAAATCTCACAAACTAAGTAGAAAACAATTTATAAATTGAATAATTAAATAAATAGATGAATAAATAAATAAATGAATTTTAAAAATAAAAATAAAACTTGGGCGGCAAAGACTGAACGTTCCGATCTTTTCAAATAGGGTTTTTAATGTTTAGTAAAATAGTTATTTTTTGGTTCTTTTTCAAACCCCAGGGGCACTTCTGGTATAAACAATTTTATTCCCGTTCCCCGCATTCCTGGAGTCTCCAGGATTCCAAGACTCGGCAGTCACCTTGTAATGCAAGTACCATCCTTGTTGAGGGGGTTCGTACTAAGGGTAGGCGTCGTCAAGGCGGCGCGTGGATTTTACGGCAAAAAAAAAAAGTAAAAAAATACACACACACAAAAACAAAACAAAACACGGGAATCGCCGATCGGGGATGCGAGGATGAAAATTATTTTAAATCTCTCTTGAATGTAAATTTTATTTTTTGTCTGATACAAATCGCTACCCTAGCCTTACGGAGTTCTATCTGCCCAGCACCTAGATCTAGTTTTGAGAAATTTGACGGTAAAGATATTGAGCTTCAAAACATGTCAAGTTTTTTCGTAATCATTTCTTTGAACATCTTGATAACGACTCTGAATAATCTTACGGTTTTGATAGAGCAAACAGATCATTTGGTTCCAGACCTCATGGTTTTATTAACTCAAAACGGCCAGTTATGTTAGTGCTGAAAGGGTTAATGCATTGTCGAAAAAACAGAATGCGCGTCCTCAATAAATTAAAGACTTAATGTATTGTTTCCGAACTTTAGGCGGAGTTGGAAAAACAACGATTCTGACCAATGATTATAGATACGGTAAATATTTACGGTTTCTGGTTCTGACTACGGTAAAAGAAGGATGAGCGAAATAGCAAGCGTTAACCCAATAAACCAAGTGGTGGGCGTTGGTTGTGTTGAGGCGTGGGAGTGTGTAGTTGTCGTTAAGGTAGTAGTGGAAAATTGTTCAAGCGGACCCTGTGTTTCGCTGGGTGCGGCAACTCTCGCAGCAGCTTCCAGGTCGGGTATTAGGCGATGCCAGAAGCAGACTTCCGTAGAGTTTCTCCTGGTTTTGACCGTTGAAGTTTCGGAAATCAGTAAGTATTCCTGTCTGTCGAGCGTGAACTCGGGCCAGCATGGGAGACTTTCTGTGGTAGCCGCTCTAGAACATTCTGATGGTTCTTCCTCGTTCTTTTTGTTGGGATTCCTGGAGGGTGAAATGAACACAGTGTGAGGAAAATGGTGGGGCAGTAGAGGCGTGAAGAGGAAGAGGCGGGGGG